ACTTTAAGCTTATTCTTGCACGCCGAGAGATTTCCCATGAAAATCAGATCCTCTTCACCCTTTTATTCATTTCAATTCTCACCCTCTCCTGCAACACTTAACATCACCTTCTCTGATATAAGAAGCTATCTATTTATAATTAAAAACCAGAAGACCGGCGAGACAGCGATAAATTCTGAAAACCAGAATCTTGAGAAAATTCCAGGCACGCTTCACTATAAAAATATACGAGAAGGAACGTCGTGATATTACAATGATACGTGCCTTACCCCTTTGGGCACGGATGAAAGAACTCGAAGAATTTCTATTCGAGTAACATACCATTCTCCCAAGGAATATGATTAATAAAAAATGGTGGAGAAGAAAAAAATCATCGAGATAACTTCTGAACACAAAAAGGAATATTCATAAATTTCATTTTCATTATAAAAGAGCATTGTACACCGTAGACAAAGAGCCTGAACATTTCACAGCCACCACTCTTCTCGCGCTCCATGGAACTCCAAAGCGTATCAGCATTCAAAGTGCTCCGAGTGTTGGAAGAGAGGATGGGGTGGGGTGGGCACTTCAGGACAGGAGAGAGGAACAAAAAGCCCCGAGAGGAGGATGTTGCATTAATATTTATACGGGGGAAAAAGGGAGCGCTGTGGGCGGAGGGGGGATGAAATGAAATGCAAATGCCTTAACGAGCCACTGAGGAACTACTGGAGTACCTTTATAGCGAGAAGCACCCCGACGGTCACGAGTCTACTCGAGTCTCATCAACGACCTCGTGACTATGAGAGAAAACGTTTTATATTTTTCACATTTGTGAGTATTTGTCAACGCCGGGAGGAAAAGAGCTGGTGATCTATGGAGGATGTTAAATATGGATGAATTTAAATGGAGGAAAGTGTATTTTAAGTCGTGCTCAATTTTTAATGAGTGGTCCTAAGGATCACCGCCATTACCAGAAATTGCTTGCAGTCTGGGATATGCAGTATTTAGAGTGGGTTTTAGGACCGCATGCTTGCGTGAGGGGTGAGGATTACTTCGAAAGAGTCGATTTGGTGGGAGAAGCTAGGCTTTTCGTAGTGGACGGAGAGAGGTTATCAGAACGTTCATTAATTGTTGTTTTCTAATTTTTGATAGATCAACTTTGCTTTTAAGTCTCATTCAGAAATCTTCAAAAAGCTCAGTTAAATTATCAGAAGCTTGTATTGTTGGCCAACAAGATCTCTTTCATTTGATCTACGACCAATTTGACATCAAATCTTCATGAATTTCATGAAGATCGAGGTAGCTATGGATCTGGGGCGCAATCAGTCTTCTTCAGATACTCTGAAAGAAGTCCTGTTTGACAGACAAATATTCTTGATGGACATCATTAACAAGATGATCACAAACAGGTAGTCTTCAAACAGCTGTTATTGATCAACACAGCTATTGGGCGCCTCGCCATGGCAAGCGCTTCAGTCCTTCCCCATCTGTATACTTGTATTTAAGCCTGGTTGGTTCTTGGCCCTGATACGGATAGGGGGTTGCTCTCAACCCTCACAAATTCCAGTCCAACTCTCCGATTTTCATTATAAATCCACACCCACCCGTCCACCTCCCTCCCCCTGGCTGTTCACTGAGCTTGCTATTCTTCCCCTCAGCTTCCAACTTTCAACCGTCTATTCTCCCTGCGATCTATTATATCTTTCGTCCATTTTCCTCCTCCACTGGACGTATTTTCCCTCTTATTTTCTTTTCTCCTTGTGCTCTCTCGCAAAGAAAACATCGCGAATGTGTTTTTCAATTTGGGACGGTGCCAGTTGGGAGCTATGTGAACAAAGGAATTTCTTTTATCCAACCCTTCTCAGTACTATGGCTTTTGCCCAACCCGTAGAATTATATTCTGGGTATTCTTTGCAGGAAACTTGATTTCAAAAGCAGTCGAATTGATTGTATTTGCGCTAGGCGGGGGATTCGAAGGGAAATGAAGGGTCTGTCAATTCATGTGGAAATTTTGGGAATGAAATTATTTTTGGAAAGTTGGAGTTTTGCTGAAGTTTTGCATTCTTCGGCATTTTACCCGAATCGTTCAAATACAAATGGATTTTTCGACGGTTGCAATCAATGCGTTTGGATTGTCAATGATAGGGTGCCATTGTGGCCTTATTACAACGGCATGGTTATGACTCCTGTATATTGTTACTTTGCTGTCTTCTCTTCGTGATTACATTTAGCATCCGGTGATTTGCGGGATTTGGAGAACAGCGGGTTGTCTGAGCGGTTGGTCAGTTGTTCTTTGATTGTCAACGATTGATTTGGTCAACAATGGCAGTATTTCGTAGCTTCCGGAAATGATAGAAAGATATAGTTTTGCGGTAGATCAAATCAGATGCCTTCATAGTTGATCCAGATCAAAAACCCTTGATTAAGTTCGTGTCATGCTTCACTCTAAACTTTCTCTTACACATCAATCTTACTACGCCATCTCCAATCCATATGTCAATACCAACGTCTGCATCAACTTTCCCACCCACCAAAAGTACCTAAATCAATCCATCGAGTCTCCTTCAGCACAACTAATCCGGCTTTTCGCAGTGAATACGATCATTGGATACCATCGAACGAATCGTATAATCTGAAATGCGCTCATCCCTCCAGCCGTGCATGGGCCGAGTTCAAACTATGAAACGAGCCAAAGTCGTGGATGAGTTCAAGCCAATTTTGCCGAGGGTGTGGGAAACTTCGCAACTGCGCGTTTTCCAATTTGGTCGGCTGCCAGTGAGTACAGCCATATGCAGGAACGAATGGCAAGCCGCGATCGTAATGCATCTTAATACTGGAGGGAGGGGTGGGCAGATGATTCAAAGTTTACAAGGTGCTTCTTCGAGTTCAGATGAGCAAAGCCGACCCTCCCCCTGTCTCCCGGCAGTCCGCGTATTCCGCGTGAGATCGTGGCTCGTAGCTCAAGCACCGGATGTGCCTAACGATGTCTTACGTACTCCATCGGCTTGCCCCATCCGCATTATTTTTTCTGCCCCTGGAATACTACAATATACTATTCTTGAGCTGTTTCCAACCCCTCGAATCGACGCACGTAGCATCGAACACGTGTTCCACCTCGGCTAATCTACCCTTGGATTTTCGCCTGGTGCCATTGGAAATGGCTCCAGATGCCGTAATACGAGGGAAACAGTGACCTCAAAAGCTTGAGTACCGTAAGATCCTCGTCTTATTTATGTAGTCGAAGAACCGATTTGATTTAGGAATTCAATTGACTTTTCTTTTCTGTCATAGTGTCAGCCTTTGGAATCAATCCTTAACATCAACTTCGGACATCCTTCTGAAATTGTCTTCATCTCTGTAAGATTGTCTGTTATCACAGAAATAATCCCCAAAACTCTCGGAGGAATACTTCCGACTTATTCAAAACGAAGTTTCCCCTGTTTTATTCAAGAGTTGATTTATCATTCAGATTATTGTTACCGAGTCTCGTTGTCGGATAGGCTATGCGCCTCTCGCCATAGACAACTCCTGCGTGGTATCCTGGAACCACCCCCCGGGCACATAGACGTCCACTGAATGGCCGTACTAAAACCAAATGGGTCATTTGATTTCAAAGCGATATCTCCCTTATGAGGGATATGTATATATGTACCTGCCTGGAGGGCAGAGAGGCGAGAATTGCGTTTGTATTGCGAAAATATACAATGTCCCGTATCATGTGCCCAGGAACGGCTCGCTAAGCACCCCTTTGCAACCATCAACGGCTGATCTGTTGGAAAGCAATCTACAAATAACAGTTCTGGGATGAGTGTTGGTTATATTAACAGTTGGAGAATCGTTGCATTTTAAACATCGTATTATTCCTTACGGAAGTTCTGGAGTGGAAATCGATGAGGTCGACTTCCTGAAGGAATCTTTTGGCTTTCTTCCTGTCCTGATCAGGTCTTGCTGACAAGCCCGCCCTAGCGGGAACTCTAACGGTGTCTGCGAAATGAAATCCTACGACGACAACTAGGTTCAACTATGATTAGCTCTCCAGGATGTCTCCTTGAGGTGTCCTGAAGGACTGAATCAGCAATTGAGGAGCATCTGATCAGCTGCAACCACGAATGAAGTTGGTGATGCATTTGGTCAGCACCAGAGCAAAACAGGCATCACATTCTTAGATCAAACTTCCTGAGAAGACTCACCATCTGTACCAGATCCTACAACTCCCCCCTCTCGGAGGTCTTCTCCCTGTAAACCTGCGTATCATCCCCAATCATCATTTACCAACTCTACATGTCGCTAGTTCGAAGCTGAGCCGTGACTCACGATACTTAACGAAGCTTAGTGAAGCCCGCAGGCAGAGCACTCTAGATACCATGGGAGCACTGTTAGAGAAGAGTAACGCGGTGTTTATCGGACCGTATCACCCACACCCCCGTCACTTGAAGCCCACATAGTGTATCGTCCTGGATTCACTCCGGTTGTGTGTGAGCCTCTCGCCCGCTTCAGAGACCAGAGGGTTTATTCGCGTAATCCCCCTACTCTACCGTTGGTCATCATGGCTGCCATTTGTTACCCCGTTTACTGCAGTACCAAGATCTCTTGCCCATTGCGGGATAATCTCGTACATGTCCGACCACACGTGATGCTCAAGCACTCCCCTCGCCATCTAGCTTTGGCTGCGTCGGACAATTTCCGATGTAATCTTCAGCCTTCATCTTCTTTCAGTGCGTTTCATTCATCGATGAAGCACGAGTCCCGCGTTTCTTAATGACTTCATCTTGAAAGTCGTTGACAAATGCACGACATCAGTTTAATACGCGAAGCCTATCTAAAGTGATCGTCTTGCTGAGACTCATTGCTAGACTCCGGACTCCTGAAATATCTCTATTCAGCTGGCCATCCGTGAAAACGAGTTTCTATCGGCGTCGGAACCACTATTGTCCGAGATGAAAGACACCGCTGCGTCGGCCATGCTCTCACCAGATATTCTCAATGATCCGTGATTAATTGTAATGAATTTTGTTTTCCAGACTGGAGATGGTCCAATAAAATTGGCTCATTAAGAAACGCCCAAGAACCAATCGCAAGGTGATCGTTAGCATACCTTCGAGAAACTTCGGGGGGATTAAGGCGGAGGACTTATCAGAGCCATCGGTCACCGCCTAATGAGCCATTGACAACGACACCGAGCACTTGGAGCCGCGGAAACTTGGGAGATATCATTTTTCAGTCGGAGCTAATACGGAATATCTACCACTTGGTACTGAATCCCGGGGATTCGCTATCTTGGATGGGGACTATTGCATGTGACCCAAATATTATCTCTTTCAATCTGCTAAAAGGGGAGGATTCTTCATGGGGCTGTGCTGATCGTCGCTGCTGAGGATGTGAAAAATCGCCCAAGTAGGCGATTTTGGAATTGCATCGTTGATGGCGACTGCGGTAATGTGATTATCAAGATCTTGTTTACGTAGGTAAACGATTTTTCGCGCGGGGAGGCATAGAGATAATTGTTGAATTAAAGATATTGGAGTTGATAGAGAAATTTTTTTAGTTTTTGGGTCCTTGATGAGGCGTACGTTATTACATTCCGGAGTCCAAAAATTTCGTCGGTTTCAGAGATTCTTTCAGAGTTAACAACGATCAATAGTACCAATGTTAATAAACTCTTAGAGTGACTATATAATAACGAAATCATTGCAATTCTCGACCGAAAATATAGTGATGCCGCGAGACTTGCTACGCGGAAAAATTTATATTTTGAAAAATATTGAAAACAATATCTTGAGTTGGCCCAATTTATATAAAAAATATATAAAATATGGTTTATGTATTTTTTTATATATTCTTTATAAATTTGAAAAATATATGGAATTGGCCCATATTATATATTTTTTGATGGGGGTTTACGAGACAATACTTTGGAGAGATGGTCTCGGTCTCGATGAACATGGAAATCTTTAGTCTCGTAAAGTCTCTCGAAAGTATGATGAATGTTATAATTTTTTGATAAAGCCAATAATGAGTGATCGCCGTGATTAAATTCTTATTAACAATCCATTCATTCGTTCCTTTATTCGTCTTCAATTTATTCGAAAAGAGGCGACTAATATCGTCTGCTTCCTTTAAAATATCTTCTAAAAAAATAATTCCAAATATAAATAAATCTTACGAAATATTCAAAGGGTTATGATTCATGACTTCATATTTCCAACAACCCATTTCCCATCACTTACCCAAATTAATTCGAAACCCTCCGCGATTACAAATCGCTGAATTATCAAAACTCGTTAAAGTTATAAATCAACCAGCGAAAAAAGTATAATGAAATAAATTGGAAAACCAGAAACATTGATTAACGTTAAATGAGCCGAATATTGGGCTATCCCGATTCCGAACGATTCGCATGGCATGTTAACGGTTATTGGCGGCAAATGGCGTATTGCGAGTGGGGAGAGGAGACATAGGTGGATCACAAATAGGACGAAATAGAGTGGTGGGGATTTTCGCGTTGATATTTCACATGTACACTGACAGAATAACATAAATTCGGGGGATTGTTTATCATTCATGGGTAGTGTAGCCAGAATATTTGTCAGTGTGGTGGATGGGGATATAGTGGGAGATAAAAGTCACGAGAAACTTGGCGAAAGATTGAAAATAGTGCGGTCAGAGTCATTCTTCATAACAGAAAATAGGGATGGGCGATGTTTTAAAAAACATCGGTTAACGAAGAATTGATGCTTTTCAAGAACATCGATATTGTGAATCGATTTTTCAGAAAAAAACATCGATTATTTAAAAAATGACAAAGAGAAAATGTTAAAAATAATTTTTTTCTTCTCGTTTCTATTGAAAAATATATATTCAAAATACAACCCGAGGAACTTACGTTTTCTTGGATGAGAATGAATGAATGACTTAGGATATCATTGATTATTATAATTTTTATCCAACATTTCTCTCTGTGAATTGGTACCTCAGTCAATTATAAAATAAACTAGTGATCAGGTCCCCATTACTTCCTTCATCGAAAAGAAGATTTAATTCACGGGGAATTAGCTATGGAATATTACTCCGTGGAATATGAAGAAAAAAGCCCGTGGGCTCCCTCCGCTGGAGGATGAGAAAAAAATTCTCGTGGTCTTTTGCTGTATGACTCCCCAGACGATCTTTCTAATTCGACCGGGTCGGGCTCTAAAATGCGGAACGCGCATTTTTATCGAAGGTTACGAGCGGAAGAATAGCGTGGATGGAAACCGATAGTTTACAGACACTGGGGAATTCACTTCATCGTTGGGTTTCCTTCTTTTGTTTTCCAATTTTATGTTTTTCTCATGATATCCGTGTTTCCCCCTTTTTTATTTGTTATTAATTTTGAAATTCAGGGGGTGAGGACAACGAGTTTATCAACATGTAATAATTAATCGTTTGTTCAGTTCTAGCAGATGATTCATTATGGAATAATTCAGTAGCGAAGTGGTAAAACGGTACAAGTCAATTTTGACTATTGACCAGTTTTCAACGAATATCTCGGAATCTAAGGGAGATAGCAACATTTTTATTATAACCTTTTTTGTAGAGCTGATTGAGAGCTACAACAAATGTAATTACAAAAATTTCGCTATCTCCCTTAGATTCGGAAATATTCCTCAAAAACTCAACTGGGAGATAAGTCGACTTAAACCGTTTTACCACTTCGCTACTGAATTGAACTAAAATTCATACAAAATCCGTTGTAATTCCGTTGTAAATTACAAATTGTCAATAATCAGAATACTTTGAATAAAATGAAAACATAAGTTAATTAATTTCCAACAAAAACTCTATTGAAATGCATAAGAAAATGAAAAAAAAAATCGTCAATGAGACAATTATTTTCACTCTTTATCTGACGGAGCGAAAGTACCTTAATGCGCTTCTTTCAATTCTCGTAGCCATGGAGTGCTGATAACTCACGCTTGATATCAACGATTTGCGTAACAATAAAACATTCCCACTAAGATGGCGTTCGTGGCCTTTTCAGAATCAGGAGAGGGTGCAAGGCACGTGACTGAGTATAGAAACTCTCTAATCTCGCGCTACCAAAAGGGGAGAGAAAAGCGGATTTCAAGACAAGAAAGCTCGTGGGACGCTCTCTCAAGTGCCATTTCAAGGACTCGAAAACTTTGTAGTCACTCTGACAAATGGACTTGTGAAAATTATGGTAATGAGAATGAGAGCAAGAAGTTATAACAGTAATTTATTAGAATTTTAAAAAAAATTTAATATTGGCGTCTCAAAACCATATTATTTTAATCAAGACAGGTAGGAAGCGGATGATAAAAAACCCACGGTAATGTATTTTCATCATTTTTTGTCATAATTTTGTTATTTTTATAATTTTTTTTTTCAATTTTTAAAAGTTATAAAAAAAAATTTTTGTCATTTTTTGTTTTTTTAAGAGAAAAAACGGTTTCAGGCATGAAAGGATATCCAAGCACTTCGTTCATGTAATCAAATTTTCTATACAATTATGTGCACAAGAAAATATTTTTTTTATTTGAGCTTTTCTGAACAATTAAGCAATAAATTCAGACACATTTCAACACCTCAAGAACGTCCGGAACTAAACTAAACGTCTCACCTCCTGTCAATGTAAAACCCAGCGAAACTGCTCCCCGAAAATGAATAAACAATCCCCAAACTCCACGATCAAAGCAGCCGCCACAATTTTCCCGATTCCAAAGGATTTCCTCGCCGTGAATATAACGGGCGCCGAAATGTGCATGCACACACAGACCACACATACACATGCAAAAACGTGAGGCGTAAACCCAGTCCCCGGGATTTAAACTCGAGCGTGGAAAGCTTATACAAAGCTCGAAATTTATTGGTTGGAAATCCTCTCTGGCATAAGCGCGGAAAGTTCTCCAGAGGCGGCAAAGTTGCCTATCCAGGATTAACACTTTCCTATCTTCCCGATGCGCCGCAGCCATTCCCCGACGGACTCTTACCGCCGGCATCTCTCACTCCCTCCCCCCCGCGCCATTTTTTTTTCAACATTTTCCCCTTTTCTCAACCCACACATAGTGGAGAAAAACCTCCTACTTGTTTTAAAACATTCGTACGCTTGAGCATTCACAGCAACAACAAATCTTTGGTATATAAGAAAAGTTCGCGCCACACGAAGGCATTCGCTATTCATGAGGGACAATAAAGAGCGTCATTGTGCTCGGTTTCCACCCCGAATACGACTCGAGTAGACAGTGCTCGAAACGACGTCGTATAGGTGAAAGAGCCAGAATCTCCGACGAATCTAGGAGATGACTTTGCGGAATGCTCTCTACGAGCAATTCCCGGATTATCTTTTAGACTCTTCGCCATGCCTTTCCAATATTCGATAGAATCTGTCGATACTGCATGATACGGTACGACCGCTGGAATTATCGAGTCTATAGACACTCAATGGGGAACCTTGTCGATGCCCCATGAGTGTCATTATCAATCATTTTTTATGTTGGAAAATCATTTGGTGGATTGAATTGGACTGCTTCGTGAAAATTTTTGTTATGAGACGTGGTTAATGTTGAGAGAGCATTGGAAAGTTTTGGATGGATTGAATTTATTTGATACGTTTAATCGATTTGATGTCGACACGACATTGTTGGGTCGACGTTTAATGTTGGTTTGACGTTTAATGTTATTTGGACATACCGTGCCGATATTTAATGTCGGTTCAAAATTTAATGTCGTTTCGGTATTTAATGTTGACTCAAAATATTTAATGTCGCCCCGACATTAAACGTTAGCTCAACATTTAATGCCTTTTCGACAAATAATATCGGCCCATCACTCCATGTAGTCTCGGCATTTAATGTCGTCTTGATATTCAATGCCGCCTCAACATTCAACGTCCGCTCAATCATCCCCATACATTCATTCAATATCGAAACCTGTTAATTGCATGTTCCATACAGATTCCCCCCGCAATTACCAACTACCTAAAAAAGATAGCTCGAAATATATAGTATTCACATTCTCCAGAGAGTGAATGGGTAAAATACACTCGACATTTCAGCAAACGAAGCGAACATCGGCGAAATGCGATCCCATCAATTGCAGTTGCAATAAACGGAAAGGACGGGGCTCAGAAGAATACACAAAGCTGGAGAGCTATACGCCGCTATTTTCGCTAGAGACAAGAGAAAAAAGAGAGAGAAAGAGACCAACGGAGAGAAAGAGGATGTGGAAGGGTGGAAAAAGGAGGGGTTTGAGTGTACCCACGAGAAAATTTGCGTTCCCCGGGAGTCAACGGTTTCCGCAAAAACTCCCCCTCTTCCCTCTCGCCCCCTCCCCGAACCACCCTTTTTTACTATGGCGCAGTGGATGTATATAGCCCACCCCCTACGTCGTCTAGGTGTACATAGCTAGTGGCGCTGGCAACGAATAAACAAGATATATACCGTGCACTCCGCACATACAATTATCGTTATAATCGTATTTTTCGCGAAGCTCCTCGCCTCTCCACCACCACCGCCCGAAAAACCATCGTTACTAATACCACTACCAGAGACTATCACTGATACGCCGCATCGCCAAACCCCTTTTTTCTGCTATCCCTCTTCTGGTTTTTTCCCCCGACGAACTTTGCCGCTCGACATTTGGGGAAATGAAGCGAAAACGCGAACTGCCGACGGATGAATTGTCGTCTTGGCGGGGAGTCTTTGCGCTCTTCAAAGTCTGTTGTTTGTCTTTATTGTGGTGTTGGAATTTGTTTGACCCTGAGTTTTTTAAGAGTTCGCGA